GTAGTAGTAGTTGTCGTCGTGGTGGTGGTGGTGGTAGTAGTAGTAGTAGTGGTGGTGGTGGTGGTGGTGCTGGTGGTGGTGGTGGTGGTAGTAGTAGTAGTAGTAGTAGAAATACTTGTGGTAGCACTTGTGGCAGTACTTGTTGCTGCTGCCGCTGCTGCTGCCGCTGCTGCTGCCGCTGCTGCTGCCGCTGCTGCTGCTGCTGCTGCTGCTGCTGCTAATTTTAGTGCTTGTGCTGTTTATTTGTTCTTGCTCTTGCTCTTGTTCTGGATTTTGTTATTGCTCGTATTGTTATTCTTGTTATTCTTCTCATTCCTAAACCCTTATTGGTGGTGGTTGTTGTTGTGCGTAGCAGCATGCAGCCGTTGTCGTCGTCGTCGTCGTCGTCGTCGTGGGAGTGGTAGTACTGGTAAGAGTCCGTTCAGCACTAACCATGGGAAACAAATTATGGGGACGAAGTTTTAGTCAGGGCATTGTTGATCGAAGTATTAGCTCTGCAGCGAGTTAGGAACCGCAAGTGGCAATCGCGATTTCAATAATAGCATGGAGCCAGAAATCGAGCAATGATTCATGATGCCGATAGCGCAGATGGTTCACAGATGCAAAAATTAACGGCAAGCAGTAAGAAGACTCCGCACACAATACTTACTGACTACAGCTGACGGACCTCTGGGTCCGAGACAGAGAGTGGCGCAACATCGACCGGGCAAGGACCATGGCCTCATTCTTGTCATCCTTGACAATGCAAAGCTGGGCCGGGTTGCCTTCGGATTTGAAGGGGCCTCGGGCCCAGCCAAAGTTTGAGTTTTCAGTATTGTCAGATCGTGCCTGCCGCCTGTCTCAGACCTCCCTGAACACATCGAATTCCCACCAAAACAGCCCATGAAGAGGCATTGAGGCACGCCGGTTTGCATTCTGTGCTGGCTCAGGCCCTCGGCTGTGATCTTGGCCCCTCGCCCGACTTCGCAGCCATCGGCAAGGCGTATGGTGGCAACGGCGTGAAGGCCAACACGGGAGGGAGACCAGACTCTGCAGCTGTGTACCTGTGTGCAAACAGCGCATTCATGTAGCCACAGCACCAGCGACCAAGACCGCAGCTCAAGGTGGCTTCAGCTGCAGATCTTACAGGCAGGGCTGTGGCGCTTGGCCAAGATGCGTCTTCAATCAGAGGGTTGGGTTGGTCTATGCCGCTGTGCTGGCAAGCTCATGTCAGAACGGACTGGCAGCTAGGGGGCGCACCGCACCGTCGACTGCGGGGTGAAAGACTGAAGACCTAAAATTTGCATCCTGCCAAAGCCAAGGCTTGGTGTAGCAGACGAAACCTGTAAAATACCAACAGGTGCCATGGATGAGGCGTTCAAGTCCACGGGCATCTTCATCCTTCACGTCTGGACCCTTAGGGAAGTGCGGGGGCCCGAAGCATATCAGACCCCTCCTGAGGTCCTCATAGATCCGCTGCTGAAGGCTGACATGGCGACGTTCCAGGAGCTCTTTCCAAAGCTTCTGTTGTGCCACAGTGTCAAGGCTGTCGATGGTTGCCGCAGGACAAGTCGATCACAATGATGGACAGTGGCTGAGCCGGCCACATAAAAAGAGTGGGTCCTCTACTCGTTTCGCCAGATGTATCCAGCTCCAGTCAAGAAGCCGGACGTAGGTGACACAGATTCGGCCACAGCAAGGGCAAGATATGTTACTGTAACAGTAAAGGAGCTTCGTTCTTGTTTACCCCTTTTCTGAGAAGGTGTGTACGACCTCTTGCCAGTCCGGTACCATCGGACCAGAATCGCAGCGCTCGTCTCAGCAAGTAGGAGAAGCAACAACACACAGCACGAATTGTAACCAGAGTAGCGGCAATGACCGCAGTAGCAAACAAGCACGTAAAGCATCTGTATTTCCACATCAAGACATCGCCCACATCGTCAACTGATCAATGCAGAGGTCGGCTTTGTTGCGGGTGCGAGTTGTCTCCGAATCTAACATAATCTAATCTAACCACATAGATGCAGCCTGGGATCGGTCATAAACAGTCATCAACGTGCTTCGAAAGATGCAGAACCTAACTTCAGCCAGCAGCGGCCATCCTGGGACTCTTCGCCTATGAAGTTGTTCCGGCCAACTCACCACCAGAAGCATCGGACATCCCTCCAACTTCAGGCTTCCGGTCTTGACTGCGCAGGGCATTCGCACAGCAAAGTGGCACGTTCTAATTTTCCAATTGCAACGTGCCCTCCTGTTCCAATAATTTTGCTTGCAACACATGGCAACCATGCACAGTTTTAGCGCCCATGGGATTGCCTGAGTTTCGGCATGCAGCAAGCCCGGTACTCTCAAACCCTGACTTCCGTAATTGGTAGCTTCCTCGGCGCCCGATTGGTTGCATGCTTGGTAGCATGTGTTCTGTAGACGCTGCATGCGTGATCGCTTATAAGTTCTGTAAAGACACCTCCGACACAACAGCGCTCGTGCGTTTTGGTCCGCAGCCGGACGCAGACGTGCTGAACAAAAGGCAAGTGCATTTGATCTGATTCCAGCAGCCGAATGTAAGGAATGGGTGCTGTGGCTTCGGGACAGACACAGCCGTTCGCTTCCACTCTTCGTGTCAAGATATCCAGGAGCATCTTAACTAAGCCAGCTAGCCTGCTGGTCGCCAGCATCCCACATTTGACATACACGAACACCACGAGGTCGGAATAGAAGCAATGAGCGCGCTGGCGTTTACATAGCAAGATCGCGAGAACTGAGCATTCGACGTCAGCTCAACAACTTCCCACTTGCAGCAACAATAGTGGCTATCGTGCAATTGCAAGATACTGGTGGTTCTTCCTCACGACTTCAGCATGCATGTTCGTTTTCAACGCAGTGTGTGATGGCCGAAGTCGTCTGCAGCAGCCAGCAGACGCAGCGTCCATCTGCAGCGGACTTCATCTTCGTGGGCGAACGCGGTCTCGAGCTTGTCCACCCTGGCGATTACTCAGATTACTCCGCCAGTCTGAACCAAGCTGAAGCAGACGCCTTGTGCGAAATAAGCTTTGACGACGACGCGTTCAGTGCTCCCGTGGCCGATTGCGTCCTGGGAGTCTGCACATGCTCCGAAACATGGAACCCACTGGCGGCCACTGAATTCCAGATTGTGCTTCAGAGTCCCCAAAGGGATAAGGGTGTCGTGCTGATGGCAGTATGGCATTCGGAAGATGCAGAGGACGCTGTCCGAAACATTTGGGAGAAGCTGGAAGTGAGTGAGCAGCTGGCCCTGAAGGGCTCTGATGCCTACCGGTCCGTGCGCGCACGGGTGAGGGCTCTGGCAGAGGTGGAGAAGAGCCACTACCACGTCCTAGCTTTCTTGAAGCTTCTGGTAAGCAACGACTATATCCGTCGAGCACCGGCCGATGAAGCTTTGGTGCAAGAAATCGGCAAGCTGGCGCTGGATCTGAGGGTGAAGGAGTGCGACAGTTGTCCCATCTGCTTGGAAGCGATTGCTGCAGAAGACGCAGTGATGAGGTGCAGCGGCGCAGGGGGAGGCTTACATCAGCTGCACCATTATTTTCATGCAGAGTGCTTGCGTGAGTGGATTCTTGGCCGCGGCGACCATGAGCAGAAACTCAAAACTATCACCGCCCCTTACCCATCAGACCCATCCTGCCCTTTTGTCTCCTGTGAGGATCCGGACGGCCTCCAACCCGAAGTGCCCCATGTGTCGGAGCAATCTGCAGTTGAACGGTGCCCGCTTGGAGTGCTTCCTCGAAGGCTGAGCATGCGGTCTTCTCGTGCATATCCTGACGAAACTAAATTTGTAGGTCTGGTTCCGGTCCAGATAGAGCGAGAGTGCAAATCATGTTCATGTTGCAAACCTGCCCGTTTCTTGTGTGTGATTGGGCTCTGAGGATTTTTGCGAGGCTTCGGGGAAGAAAGAGGCTCAGGCGGCGCAGGTTCGGTTTGGTGTGCAAGTCGAGGCGGTAATGAGCAGGCTTTGAGGTTGGCTTACAGGGGATAATTCGTGTTTTTCACGGTTTCCACCGTTTCAGCAAGTGAAGCCCGAAGTTGTAGTTCTGCGATTCTTCCGTGCCTCCAGGCACGGCCACATTATCCGACGACGAACGAACATATCTCCAGGCATTGCTAGATGGTGCCAGTGCTCGAACCCTCGGCTGCAGAGGGGATTGGCAGCCTTCCCTTTTGCTGGATGCTTCAAACTTCGGGGCTTCCTTGTTCCTGTGTAAAATTGACCACCTTCTTCAGAAACCGTAACGGGGCCTTGAAGGACAAGACTGGAGCGACATGAACTTCATCGAGCGCACGGGATATGCTGGAAGCCTTGCCGCATCCGCAGCTGCAGGATTCGCGCAGGTGAGCGGCTTTCACCGATACCCCAAATGGCCCGAACCAAAAATCCCAAAATGTATGTACGTAAACTCTTAGGCCCTAGCCCTGTCAGATTCGGAAGCTGTGAAACCTGAAGTTCCCTGAAGGTTTTTTTCGTGCGAAGCGGTTATTGGGCAAGCGGTGGCTTGGCCCCGCGCACAGACCTGCGTCTGGCCCAGCTAGCCGGAGCAGGACACCGAAAGCCTGAGTCCCGAACACTAGTTGTCGGAGATTCCGAACTGTCGCAAAGAGTAGCTGCCTACAGAGCTGGGGTAGTTTATGCCATGGGGTCTTTTGGCCTGAAGCAGTTGTCAAGGAGCAGCAGTGGCTTTCCGCATCTGGCGTGGAAGATGACACACGCGATGCAGCAGGCTTCGCGTGTTCAACGCATCTTATTTTTCGTGCAACCCCCCCCCCCCCCTCTGCGGAGCATTTCTTGGGTGGGCAGCAAGGGCTGCTCGCTCTGATGCTTTCTGGCGGTGGGCCTTATTTATGTCTGACCGGGCTCAGTATGCAGCCGACAGGATGCGTCCCCGCGCCGTGCGCGTTGGTGTACATAACAGGCCTGTAGGACTCAGCACGAACAGCGAGTCCAAGCTGTTCAAAAAGCTTCGGCATGGGTGGCCCGCACCGGCAGTCTACAGACACAATTGATAAATTGATGATTAATCACAGAGGAAAGACAAAGGCAATAAATCTGAAGAGAGGTTTTCGTTCCAATCTTATAGAACAGACAAAGAAGTGCAATGAATGCGTGCTCTGTTCCTATTAAAACTGACTGAAATACGAACGGAACGGAAGCATGCGGTAGAAATATCAAGGGACTGGTTTGTTTCATGCTTGCGCTCCATATTTCTTAAACTTCGTGGTCTTCTCTTTCCTGCAGGCACAATAAGCGCTAGTGTGCTATCCATGCATCCATCCTGTTCATGCTTTCTGGTGAGTCGTGTTCTCAATTTGACGCTTGCGCTCCGTACTTCGTAAACTTAGTGGTGTTCTCTTTCCTGCAGGCACCATACGCGCTAGTGTTTTATCCATGCATCCATCCTATGCATGCTTTCTGGTGAGTAGTGTTCTCGTTTTGACGCTTGCACTCCGTGTCTTTTAAAGATAGTGGTGTTCTCTTTCCTGCAGGCACAATAGACACTAGTGTTTTGTCCATGCATCCATCCTGTTCATGCTTTCTGGTCAGTAGTGGTCTCATTGTTTCACTTGTTCCCTGTTTGTTTTAGTAGTCTTTTGATGCGGTGCTAGCATCAACGATTGAACCTTCCGCAGCTGTTTTTGCGTCGAACATAGTTCGAGCCACCGCCAGAACATAGTTCGAGCTATTGCCAGAACACATACGAGATACTGTGCCGCACGAGGACATTTCCGAAGGCTCGTACCCGTAATTGACACCAGAGGGCAGGTGAGAACAGAATTTGGTGTCAGATGGTGTCACCTACTGTATGGTTGGGGGCATGACGGACCACAGTCGAACTACGGGCGTGTGCGGCAGTTCGACGCCGTGAGCAGCTGCCTTCTGATAAGCTGTTTGGGCATCCATATTCTGGAGCAGCGGCTGGTTTAGTTTCCGGTTTCAGCTGCTGCAGCTTGGCTGTGACGGCTAGCTCCATCGAAATGTAATGCTTGGCTCAGCGAATTGTGCCGATTCGTGACATGGTATTGTTTGGCTCAGCGAAATGAATGCTTGGCCTGACATTAAGCGGATGCTCCAGGGCAAGAGCTCTCTCGGAGATTTCACACTACTCCTGCCCTAACCCCCTTTGAGCAGACAACAGGTACTCAGTCCAAATTGCTCGGCGGCTGCAGCAACCGCCCTGTACTACAAAATGGGAAGTGTAAAGCCAAAATGCGCACCATCGCCGGGCGTGCTATGCGTGCTCTGCTAAGCACCACTTTCATCGCGTCCCTGAAGGCATAGCCTGCAGGCCTCGGAGGCCAGCGATCCGCCGGTCCCGTTTCACTCTCCGAGTAAGGCGGTGTGGCCGGTATTTTTTTAAAGGCCTGACCCCGACAAGCTGCTGACCAAACGTCCTCGTCGAAGTGGCGGGCCTGTGAGGGCTGCAAGAGACTTGCATTGCCATGAGCCGTCGTCTGCTTTGTTCCACTTCTAAAAACAGCTCACCGCCTGCCTTGAAAGCTCGCAAGGAACACCGGGGAGCCACCAGCAGAGCTCTCTCTTCTGCCCGACGAGCTCTTTCTGTTACCCTTCTCTGCGGGTCAAAGAGGATGGCGCGCCCTCTCTATCATCAACTTTCTATGACTGTCCATCGCCCTCCTGAGCAGTTCTCTGTATCGAAGAGGAGCATGCTATAGGCGTACGCAGGCTCTCCTCTCAACCTACATGGCAGAGCAGAGTGCACCTTGTCCGCAGACCACGAAAACCCCCGCAGCAACTCATTCAAAGACAAGTCTGCCTTAGAACCTCAGCCGGGCATGCGCTGGGCTTCACCTGCTCACGGCTTCACCTGGCAGAAACGCTGGCGTTGCGCATCCTCCGCAGCGCCAATGCACTTGTTGCAGATTCAAGCGGTGCAGCTGGTGCAGCAGGTGCCGTCGCCTTCACCCACTGGTCCAGACTGGGCCAGACGATCAGGGCAATCTAGCAAGAGGTGCACTCTCGAATCGCCATGGCTGTGAAGTTTTATGCGTTGCTTTGGACGGGCTTTTGCTGTCTGCAAAGCCGCGATCAGAAGTTTATGGCTGCAGCGACACTGGCAGGTTACTCGCCCATTCACGTGTTAGCGGTAACCTGCCCTGTCGGCGGTGTGGTCTGTGGACAGTTCAAGTTTACCAATTCTTGCCGGGCCAGGCTTCAACACCCGCCCGTCGCGAGTCGCTACAATGTGTAGGGCAATCTGGGAATCTAATTGTTCTTTAGACCCGTGTGAACTGGTGCTGCCTGCTTTCAATCACTTTAGCCTACAAAGTGAAGCCTTCACGCGGTACCTCGCCGTCTGAAAGTCATTTGTGATTCCGGCATGGCACATTCTGCAAGACGGCTCGAGTAGAAATTGCAATTTGTAAAGGGCCTCCAAGAACAGCCCAGAATCGAAGTAGCAAGGTCACCATCCGGGACGAGAGAGAAGCTCACTAGACTAGGTGACCTCTTCGTGTCTCCTTTGTTTCCTCCCTGTGGGGAAGAGGGGACAACATTGCTTGACCAGCAATAGCTTCGCAGCCTAGCGATTTCTCAGGAGACATGCTTCAGCAAGTGCCGTGCCACTCGGTGCCCCGGCCTGATCCTTGTCTACACATCCGCAAGTGTCGGTTTCAATATCACCCAACGACATGGTTCTTTGTGGTGGCCGGCGCCACAGAGCACTGGGAGAGCAGGATCTTCAAGGCTGTCCTTTGCATGGCCTTGGTTCCCGCTCATACACACAGCCCGCAGCATGCTGGGCTCACCGACCATCCTTGGCGGTCGGCCGAGATGCCTGCCACAGAGCAGCGGCATCAGCTAGCCAGCAAACTTCCTCGCAGCCTTCCAGATGGCTGCAAGCAAGTCAGCAACGAATCACGAGTCGAGCGGCTGCAGGCTCCAGGCTTCTTCACGGTAGACTGCCCCTGACATACCGGGACCGGATGAAACGATTGTGACATACATGTAGCCAAGACAAAACGAACTGCGATCTCGCTAGAAACTCAACTTTCAGAGTGTTTCTGATGCAGTAAGACAGTGACCCCACTGCACACCTTCGAAGGCCGCAAGTCCCAGAGGGCGCCAGCTGCTTCTGCAACCCTCCCGGACCGAAGAGCCTCTTCGACCGAAGAGCCAGCATCGCCCTAGGACAGCGGATGCTCTGCAGACTAGCGCCCAGGGCTTCGACCCAATCTCCAGCAACAAGTAGTTTCCGTCAGGCTGTGGGATGCCGTGGCTGTTACTAGTCATGTCGGACACAGCTCCTGTAGGTCGGGCGGCCTGGCTACAGGACCCGCAGTCGCTGCAGCCGTTTTAGGAGACCGTGTTGCGATGATGCAGGGGTGATTCTATCGACAACAGCCACGGATCACAAAAGCAGCCGCTGTCCCCGCAAGTTTGTGTCACATGGAGTGGGAGAAAGAGCAAGTCTGCAGAATGGGAGGCGAGCCCTCTGGGATGCGAGGCTAGAGCGGCTAGGGCTTCGCTACGAGAGCCCTTGGCAGTGTCAGGGATTAGCAGCGGACGTTGTGGGCGACGTCCCTTCTGTCGACACATCCACACTCTTAGAGATGGGCCGGTGGCCTGCTGCGGCAAGTCAGCCTTAGCTGAAGCCGGGCCGAGCCCCTGAGCTCGTGAGCTTCAAAGAGGCCTCCGTGTTCAAGCCGCCTTTGGCTTCCATCTCCGAGACTCGGCTCTGGGCCCAAGGTTTGCAAACAATGCACGGGATGGCTAAGTCAAAGCAAGTGACAAGCGCGGAGGGGGAGGGGGCGGGGAGGTGAGTGAGCAGATCCAGAGGTGGGGGGAGAGGGAGGTTGGGCATGGGGGTGTGGGTGCACTGAGTGTCGCAAGCATTCAGTCGTGGCAGTCACACCAACCAATACGGAGTGAACCACTGTTTGTCGACAAGCATGGTGCTTTATTTCTTTGATCGTGACTGTTCTGACCAGCCGAGAACTCCCTTTCTGAGAGTTTGCATCTCCCAACTGCCCGGAGAGGGCTTTGCTCTCTGGGATGCCAAACTTTTCCGAGTGGAATGCTGCCTTCCTCAATTGTCCGTGGCACGGGGTGGAGCGTCGTCGAAGAGTTTTGACCTTCTTCGGCATCGGACGTGCGTGGGTTAAATGATGCGCACCTTCGCAGGGTTTCCTGGGTTTCCTCTGCTAAAATCAGCTACCGGAATGGCTTCACTGACTGATCTCAGTCTCACACTGAGAAACACCACCTTACACGCGCTGCAGAGTGGTGCCTCATTGACGTCAAGCTGCTGTGGCGAGAGAAGGCATCGTCTTTGCACGACCTTTCTGCCTCGATCCAGGTTTCAGCCTGTTGGAGTTGGTGTGGCCAGAATGGATGCACACCCGTGTTATCCCCCAAGTTCTCCTGTCTTCAGCTTTGACGAGGCAATCGTGGAGAAGTCTTGGTACAGACCGGCAGGTGCAAATTCATGAGTGTCATGTCTATACCCGACTCCGCTAGCCTTGGACGCGCAACGTAGTGAGCATTCGAATCAACGATTAGGGATGACAGGCCGGTTGGCTCAACCTTGTGACCTTGTGGTTAAGCTGAAGGTTTGTCGCCTGGATCACCAGGTCAAGTCGAATCCCGGTGAGCACCGTCGCATTTCAACCTTGCTTGGTCCGACACTTGCTTCATTTGCTGAAAGGGATGTCTTTTTCATGGACATGATGTTTTCAGAACTTTTGCGTTCTCCGAGTGCCCAGGGGCTGACGATTCTTCGTCGTTGATGGCAGGACCCAAGCATGGTAACTGCAGTCGTGGCCGTTTTCGTCCCGCCAAGCCAAGCAGACCCCGGAGCCCCAGCTTCACGGTGCGATCTGAGATTTGCCCTGAAGCCTTCATCTGATTCGGTCTTCGGGATGCCTGAGAGACTGCTAGCCCGGTCTCCGACTTGAACAGCTCGCCACATGAATATTTACGACATCGGACTATGCCTGGAAATGTCCTGGCTTTGCTGGAAGAACCCTGGCCTTGCAACTTGCACCTTGGCCCGGCAGACGGGCCCCCGACGTGAAGAAGATTGCATGTCTATAGACTTCAGGGTTTAGGGTTTGTAAAGTGCACTTGAAGTCCTTGAAGCTGCCTGTCTCCTGAGCACTGGGCCGTGGAGCTGTTTCCGCCCGCCGGGTGGCTGTGCGTGGAGCCTGTGCAGCCCTGCAGATACAATTTCACCCCTCCCCCTGATCTTTTGTGCTTTGAGGGCTTTGAAGGTGAGAACGAAAGGGCCTCTTGTATCTCTTGTGTCTTGGAAAAGAAATTCTATTACGTTTCATCGTGTTTTATGCGCTTTCTACCCCCTCAAGGCAATTTCGTGTGGCTTCTACTTCATGTGTGCCTCAGTTGCAAAGGGTTGCCGCCGGCCAGGGTATCATGCATTCTCCGTTCTTCAGGGATCCTGTGCAAAGTCATCGCGAGCCTTCGCAACATATTCCCGGTTCCTCGGGTATGAAACTAATTTGCTCCATGCCGGCTTCCAGTCGCACAAGCGAGTTCTGAACAGTCGCATTCTTGGTGGGCCTTGCGTCATGATATCGTCGTGTCCAGCCACACAGGCGGAAGCGGAAGTTCTGCATATGATCCGTCTAGCACGGCCTGTGAGGCTCGCTGGCCATGGAGTCTTCCTCGACAGGCTTGTGACGGGCTGGGGCAGCCTTTCTGTCATGCCCGGTGGAAGGCAAACTCAGCTGGGCGTGCTTGGTGGAAAAGGCCTGTTGCGCATAAGCATTACTTCCTTGCTTCGAGAGGTGGGTACTCGTGTTGCACTAAAAACGCATCCCTGAGCAGGGCCAGTTTGCCGTTTAACTGTCTAGTTCGAAGAGGCCTGGATGCAAAAAGATGATGTCTTCACACAGGCCGCGGTATTATGCTTGCGTCCAATCGACGGAGACAGATTGCAGTTGCCGAACCCGGTCGACACATGCGTTTCGAGGTGCAGAAGGAGGCTCGGACAACGAGTTCGTTCTGGCGCCGCCCTCGCATGCTGACCTGGCCAAGGGAAATGCCTGCGCGTCCGGATGCAGAGCGTATCGTGGGGTGCATGCGTGTCGGTTTGTTCGACCTGCATCCGTTGGCAGCGCTGTTCTCGCTCCACGCCTAGCGGCATGTGATCGATTGAACAGGCACAGAAACTCTTCTGCATTTGTTCACGATGTTGTGTTCCAAACGGTTGGTCCAGATGTCACTCTGATGCTTGTTGCCCAGAAGACAAAGCTGTGACCTGGTGTCCTAGGCTCTTCCACGTAGTCATCTCCATGCCTTCCAGTATCAGCAGTCATTAATATGTTCAACTTCAAATCAGCAGCAGGATTAAGGACTCATGCTAAACTCGTCACCGTCAGCCAGACAGATAAAAGCAATCTGCACCAGAAGCAGACCATGAACAGCGCGCTACATCTAGCTTGGCACTGCAGTGCCGACAGCGAAGTAGGTTCCGTCCTGTCCGTTTCTTGCTAAAAATGAGATTGGGCCACTCCTTTGCGTGGGTTTACTGGCCTGGGATGGGCTTTAGGAGCCGATGCTTGGAGAGCGACCATGTTCTTCTTGCATGTAGGTGCAACTGCAGTCGTTTTTGTTAACTCGCCCCGCTGCTGAAATCAACCTGGGATCGTTGGAAATGCGATGACCCTCCGCTTGGTTATCTTAGTTATTGCGGAGACGTAGGGAAATAGGCCTGTGCTGGCAGCAAGTGTGCCCATGGCCTGCTTGTTCCTAGGAAGAAAGCTTTCTGGGACACTCGTAGTCGGAGATGATGGGCTCATAAGACAAGAGCATGGCGTTTGGGCTGGGGAGCCCCTCCGGACCGTAAGGCAAACAACTTGAAACCCACATTGATTATGATTAGGGTACCACTCCCCGCTAAATCGTGCTGTTTGAAGTACCCCCGATGGATGGGGTGACTGATGAGGAGACAGGTATTGTTTGTGCCCATGCGTTCTAATTTTGGGGTCGGGGGCAGGGTCTGCCCTGAAACAAGAAAATGACAAAGAGATACATACACCCTTTACGAAATCACCTCCTGCTGCGGTGCCAGCAAGTCTGCGCGTCGAGGGCGTGTGCACACGGGCAGCAGATGTTTAAGCTCGTCGCCACGCTATTCTGCCGATAGGACAGGGATGGGGGTTCCTTCTTGTAGTGTAGGGGCTACCGTGCTGAATGACAGTTCCTGCAGCACTGCATCCAGCTCGAAGGCTTGCAAGCCTTGTGCAGCCAGGACGGTTGTTCGGATTCTCGTGACAGCTGCCAGTCCGAGCACCCTTGGCTTGTGGGGTGGCTTTCTCGGTTGAGAAGGTGCCGATCTCCGCAAGGAGGTTTGTAGGAATGTGCCCTGGTGACAGGCTTTGCAGCTTTGAAGTTTTGCGGGTATTCCATGAAATGGCATCGCTTGGCCCCATGCCCTCCCGCGGCAGGAGGCTTGGGGGATTTGGCCCGCCCTGCAGTGTGCGCAATCAACTGTTGAACTACCTCCGAAGCGAGAAAGATCGCCGAAAGGCTTCTTTTGGCTGCTGTTTGGGTTGCTGCACGGCGCATGCTCCATTGCTTTTTGCAAGGTGCAGCTGCCACCCTAAACCCTACATGTGGAGCCTTGCCGGCCGGGTGCGAGTGTGAGAGTCGAAACCAGTCTGCCTGCGGCGCGACCCCAGTCTGCCAGTCCGGTACTGTAGCACCTTGGCGCTAAGCGACGCCGTGAACGAGCTGGGAGGCTGGAGTGGCGCCAGGTGGCGGTGTGATGGCAGACCTCTAGGAGGAATCTCTGAGTCTCTGAGCGCGATTGCCAGACTCCCGCGTTTGCAAAAGCTCAAGACCACCTTGTTTGCTCTATGAGGCTGCGAGCAAATTTAGCCTACATTGGCCTGGTGTCTTGTACGTCCAACGAGGAATCTCGGAATCTCGCCAGCGCCCCGACACTCAGAAGAGGCTGCGGCAGGGAGCGTGGTCGATGATTGCAGGCCTGGGCCGTTGTCCCCATCACAAAACCCCAATTCCCATGTCCAAGCGCTACTATGACTACGACGCGGCCGTTTGTGGGCATCGCCAAGTCGTGGCTACGGCCTCTACGACCGGACATTTCAAAGATGCCACATTCGAAAAAAGCCTGTCAGTCAACTGTCCCGGCAAGGCCCTTGCCGCCAGTTCTGCTTTCCAGTAAGCTTCACGGTTGGGCCACTGCCCGAGTCATGTACCAGACCGATTTGATGAGGTGCAGGCGGCATAGGGCACAGGGCAGTATAGGGTGGCCATGAGATAGGAGGAGGCTGGAGCCGTGGTGGCGGGTTCCTGGCCGAGGGTCGGGCCCTGCAAGAGGATGCCACCTAAATCTGGCGTGCAGGCGAGGGTGCCAGAATCTCCGGCATGGAATGTGTGCTTCGAAGTTGGGAAGTCCACAGACGGCATTGCCCATGGTACGCCGACCAAATCATCATGCTGAGGCGAGCAACCTCGCATTAATGCCGGTTCGGAGCACAGAGACGAGCTTTCGGCACGGGGGCCACCTGCATACTCTCATCGAACTGTTGCTGGTAGCTTTGCCTCCACTTCGGTGGCGAGTTGCTTGCTGGCAGAGTCGCACCGCCAAGTCTTCCGGGGTTCGAAGCCGAGAAACTCTTGTGAAGGCTCCTGCGTGAAGCCTGGTGTGGCACTGCTGTGCCAGCCGGCAAGGCATTAGCATGGAATTCGGCTCTATGAGGTAAGGTCGTCGTGCGGTATGGAGTGGCCTTCAGAGCTGTCGTCTCTCTCAGAGACCTTGTGGACCATGGGACTCGCGTTGCCACTTCAGATTCACCAGAAATTCCGTGCACGTCGGTTCTGCTCGCGCCGGTGATCATGCACAGTTGACTTCGTCGGAGTTTCTAGTGGCCCCAAGGCTTCCGTGATATTCCCACGACCCACCACTTTTTTCATATGCCATCAGTCAAGTAGAGATTTCGCTCGCCGTTGCTTCCGCCAGAGCAAGGCCTTCCAATACCTTGCTTGTTGCTCACACGGCGCCAACGGACGGGGCCATGTTCTTGCAGTTCCAGCTGCTGCGAAGGCCGTTCTTCCTCAGGCTGCCGGAAGTGTGCCCGAACGGTCGTTCCGCGATTGGAGAATGGACAGTTGCATGCTGTCGGCTTCGGTGTCCAGAACTCAAGGCAGCCCTAGGCCTGCGGCTTGAAGCACACGGGCTAAGAACAAGCAGCTCCTGCGTGGCCTAGCCTCTCGTAGCAGGTGAAAGCTGCAGTCATCCCGCAGGCATTTCGGAACTCGAGACGCTCCTAGGCGGACATGCCTTTGGCAAGGACCCAACCTGTCTCTCCAGCATGCAGCATGCTACGCAATCCGGGACACCGCAAGGTCCATCCTCCACGCATCCTGTGGCTTGAATCTGGTGATCTACACCGCCTGGTAGATAGCTCTGTGTAGAATTTGGGATGTACTGACGGCATCAAAGCAAGTCTGGTAACCAGGGCTTCTCCTAAGGTTTCAGAAGCTTCGCACGAGTGCTTCTTGGTGAAGTCACAAAGCTTGTAAAGCTTGTGGATGATAGGTCGGGTGGGCAATACTGCTTGTATTGCTTCCACCGCTGTGACACCAACGACCACAAGTCCGCAGGAGTTTGCGAAATCACTCCAGCTGTAAGATCCCAGCTGCTGCTTCATCCCGGCTTCTTTGGGTGCATCACACCTGCCGGAAGGGATTGCCACCACTGAAATGCATAGCTGATCATTGCTTGCCTCCCTGCTGTCCCATATGTATCATGGGCATGCTCGCGCTCATTTTCCTGTCCTGATCTCCAGCACAGTATCGCTAGACTCTGCTGCACGCGATCAATGCAGCAAACCCGAGGCGAACCGCAGTAAAGAGAAAGCTCTGGGCTACATACGTCTGCTACATCCAGGAGGCCATGCAAGCCACGAAGACATTCGCAGAAGCCGCCAAAGAAGAGCAGCTAGGGTGCGGAATGCTCTGCCGAGTGCAGCAATGCGATGCTCAGCTGTGCTTCGGAGTGCGCTGGCGCCTGAATACATCACCTCGTCCTCGAGCTCCCCAGCCAAGAATATGTCCAGCCAGGGGCCTGCGACGTTTAGACGCAGACGCAGTCATAAGTTTGCGAAGCGGCAGCCGTGCCGTGTGCTGGCGCTGTGTGGGCTATCCATGCGTGGCGTTCAGCTGTTATGTCCAGTGGGCTGTGCTGGCGCTGTAGCGCGTCTTCACGGCTTGTGGCTGTTCTCAGAGTGCTTCTAATTTCTGGCAAGACTCGTCGAACTTCCCTCCGATGAGCGTGTGAGTGAGTGAGGTGAACATACATGGAGCATGGGTCCAATTCGGCAGTCGGCGCTGTTGCCCATCGGCGCATGAGCCCACATCCGAAGCTAGTGGAAAAAGGGGCTACAAAGCCCCAATGCAACTGCAATCTGCCAATCTAGCTGTCTGAAGTGCCCATGTGTAGCCTCCATCTTGAGTAGCACGGGGGAGGCTGTAAGGTTTTCGTTGGATCGACCTTTCAAGTTGAATCAACCCCAAACCTTAAATTAAACACTGGGCACCGAACAGCTGACGTTGTGCGGTAGGAGTGACGGGTGTTTTCGCTGGTCTCAATTTTGGATGTTTCCGTCTCGGTATGCGCTGGCTTTCAATTCCGTCTCGCTTTTGAAGCGCTTGAAATCCCATGAAAAGTGACTCAGGAGTGCCAAGCTTTCATGACATGCATCCGAATTTCTTGTCATACTTCCCGAACTAGACCAGAGGTTCGGCCGAGTGACTTAGTGAGCAAGCCGGTCCAGCCGACGTTAGACTCTTCGTGGCTTCAGCCGGGACTTTCTAAGGCGGCAGCATCGCTTTCGCTACCACGCTCGACCGTGTTTGCCGGCCGAGAACATGCAGGCCCGACTCTTGCACAGCCAGCAGGGAAGTCCGTGCAAGGCATGAGAAGCAAAGTGATGTCTCCGGCTTCCAGCCCTCCAGCTGCAAGCACAGCAGGAAGGTTTGGATTAAGGACACTGCTGCCCTGCATTTTCGCAAAGCCATGGGGAGTGCGTGCGGCTTGCGGTCTGCACAGCCTTTTTAGATTAGCTACGTAAGAGCGTTGGGCTTGGCAGTCCACCCGTTTCTCTCTTGCACATGTAGTATGAGTAGTATGTATAAACTATGCGCGTAGCTTGTACATGCAGTCAATGCAGTTCAGTTCTGCATTGCACGAGCTGTACGATCAACCACGGATGGCGGCACCTTGGAATGCAGAGATGTGCAAGAGAGCTGAAGCCTCAGAGCCGTTTCTGGGCAAAAGCTGTCCACATCATCATTATCATATATTATCATCATCATCGCTGCGTTGGGCGATACAACTTGTATCATGGTGGGCATCCGGGCACTCGGATCAAGCTCCGAGTGAACAGAGGTATGATCAACACCACATTTCAGGTGTTGCCCGCCTAAACATCACTTATGCCCAAGGCTCTATAGGTTTAAAGAGTTTAAAGCCTTTTGTCTGAGGGCCGGTCTTTGGAAATACAAAAGCCTCAGGGCAAAACTGACTCCTTGGTCCATGAAGCCGCTCTTTGAGCCATGCTTTTCTAATGAGTTCCCTTTGAAGCTGGGCTTTTTTGCACGTGGGAGTGCCTCAAGATGTGGTGTCTCGGGTTCGTGACCCGGGCCGGTCCAGATAAGACAGAGGAGAACAACTCGTGTCGGTGCCTTGCGCTCTTCTTGCTGCTGCCCCCGAAGACCTGATGATGAGCCCGATTTAAAAGCTCTTGTTCTGACCTGTCATCCCCCGAAGCACCGACAAACTCATCGCAGCTGGGTGCCTCCGAAACACTGCCCTTCCGCAAACTCGGGGCTGTCAGATTGGACTTCGATTATCTTGGAGAGGTCAGAGCCACGACGCTGATTCCAGGGAGTTGCGAGCTTTCCAGGATCTTACCACCACTGTCTCCAAGTGGTCCCTTGCTCAGATCTCTGGCGTTACCCGCAAGGGTCCTGGCTTTTGCCTGCTGCTTGCTACACGAGCACTGGCCGATGCCAGTTCCTGCTAGACAGCGAAGTCGCATGGAACATTTCATACCAGTGCCCAACCCAGCAAAGACAGCAGCGTGCTCCTTCGCAGCTTTTGCAGAATCGCACGCGAAGGTCATCTGCTGGGAACCCTTGATGTATGACTGAGGGCGGGCACGGGCTCTGCTCGGCCTCGTTGTTCGCAGGCATCTTCGGAGGATGCCAGTGCCACCGAACATGTCGCACGTGCTTGAGGCTGCTACCTGCCACGGCCGTGCCCATTGGGCGACACATGCAGGGCTGGCTGATGCCACGGCCGCGCGCATGCACGCAGGTGATCTAGAGGCGCCCGATCCACAGCCGTTCTCGGTGGAGTATGGTGGAGTCCTCTTGGACTCCAGGTTTGCGTTTAGGACACGCGTGCGTGCCAGCAGCCAGCAGCATCGACTGCGAGTGAAGGTGTGCTAGGTGTTTGTTGCAGTGATCACCCGAACCCTCATGTGCTCCTCCTCCCACGAACACAGTTGGGAACCGGTCAAGCCAACTCTGGAGGAGCTCCAGGTTTCGGCCTCGTGTTTGCGACGTCGCAGGGGGGTTGAAGCCATTTTTGGCAAGCTCAGCTTTCTGGGACATCTTGCCTGGAGAGACCTTGACAAATCCGACGTGACACGATGTTGCAGCAGGCTCTTTCTAGACCTTCGTTGGTGGAGAAGCTGCCGCCCAGACGTGACTAGCGCCTGAAGCCTCAGCTACTCGCGGATGTCAGAAACTGAGGGGGCTTGGTGGCTTTCGGCAATACTCCTTCGGCATCAACTGTCTTTCTGCTGGACACCAGTCGCAGAGCAGGTAAACTGCCGAAATGTGCATCTATAAGCTTGTTATGCAGATGCGCTGCAGAGCTGCTGCGGCTTCTCAGTGTTTCTTGAAGCTGAGGAAGAAGTTCTCGCGACGTTTCCGCTTGCAGGATGGTGCTTTGGGTGCTGACTTTTGCCAGATCGCAGTTCCAGTGGGAAGAGAGTTGTCGCGGCGAGACCCTCGCTCAAAGCCGCATAGGTGACGCCCGGAAGGTGCTTTCGTCTTTGGTGCAGTGCCCTGCAACGGGTGATGGAAAAGGTAGTTTCTGAATATTGGGGCCCCTGATGACTAGCTGCATCCAGACCGTCGGGGGGACGAGGCTTCGCCTGCTCTCCCTAAAGAAGGCGCTGATGCAGACATGCAGTCCGAGTCCCAAATGCCCTGCGAGGTTCGGAGCTGTCCGCAGATGTGTTCTTTTGCCCGAGCACGTCTGGCTGGATTGTAAGACCACCGGGGTGCCAGTGTCTTGAACCTGCAAGTGCCCACTATTCGACCTTCAGGCATCTTCAGGCACATGTCTGCCCCCCTTGGGGTCCAGGGTCTCAGCATAAGACGGCGCGGCGACTGCAAGCATGGGTCGTAGAAGCTGGCCGTCTTACAAGCCACCGGAGGGCAGTTGCTGCTGAATTTTGGAAAGCCCGCCGTGCAAAACTGTTCGAGGGAAGCCACGTAGCCACCGATGCTCCGAACCAGAACCCTCAAGGCACGTCGGTGCTGCCTCAGTGCGGCTAGGTGTGTGGCAGAGCTTACAGATTTTGAAGCCTCCTCAGGGAGGCTGTGTGCACAAACCCTTCCTTCCCGCTTTCGGCTTGGCTTAGCAGCTTGTCGACGAACTTGTCAATGTAAAGGCCCGATGCGCTCGGATCGAGAGGCCATGTGCGTAGGCTCTCATGGCTGAAGGGTTCCCTTGCGCCGAGAGGCCATGTTTGCTTGCACATCTCAGGGCACTGCGGCCGCAGCACCCGGCAGAGTGTGGGCCCGCACTGGCAGCAGCAAGATTCCGGCCTCCGGCATCTACGTGTTTTGACTTGCCTGCCCTTACTTGCCTCGGTCGTTTCTCCGAGTGTCCTCGATCGTCATGTCCCTCACCTGCACTGACACCTCAAGGTTTGCCAGCACTACCTTGACGGTATGCACACAGGGACGATCCCGCAAAGGCAGGGGCGTTCTGTGAAGATCTGGCACTCGTGTCGGAGCAGTACCGGTGACAAGTTGTTGGCAAGTCTGAGACATCTCCGTAGATGCGCCCTTCGCCGACTCCGATCTACATCCTGCGCGATCTCAGCGCGCTATGTGCCGGGATGGGGGCGGCAATGAAATGCCCAAGGCAAAACATGCAGATTTGAGCTACCAGAAGCTTGCAGTTTATGGCGCTGACAGCCTCCAGAAGTTCATGGCCGAGAGCCTATGTGTCCAAGTACGGCTTGCTAAAGTTTGCGTGGCGCACCTCACGGTTGTTGCTAACCGTGGTTTGCGACTTGAAGATGAATGGGCGATGCATGTGAAGTCCTTGTAGTAATTTCTGTAGTCCCACTGCTCGCATGTCATTTGTCGTAGATACACGCATTGAGGATACACGCAAATCGCTGCGTCCTGCCTCGCAGCTGACAGGTGACTGAGTCCGTGTGAGCGAGAGAGAGGATACTTCAAGTCACTGCGCAGAGCGAGGCGACGGATGAGTTGCTCTCAACATGTTTCGTCTTGGCACCGGCCAGATACTGCCTGATCAAGTGTGAGTGCTCCGCATACCTCCCACAATGTCAAACAGGCTGACTTCCTCCGGCAAGTGCTTCGTAGTGAAACTGTGTTTGATCCGCGGAGAAAATCTAGTTTGATGGTTATGATATCAACAGGCTTGATGCCTTGCAAATCATTGGATGGGACCGCAGTCGCATATCATGTGCTGGCGCGAGACGTGCATTTAGTGGCGGGCAGGTGCAGGTGTACTCAGATCCTCGGCACCACATGGGGCCCGGGAAACTTGATGTCAAAAGCCCAACCAGCTCGTCGTGGCTCATCGGCACCCGCAGACGACTCATGCTAGTTTTCCGGATCGTGTCTTCCAGGCCCACGGCCCTCTGCAAACGGCGATCGCTTTAGCTGTCCATGAATCCTTGGAGTTTCAGTCGATATTCACAGAACTATCGGAGAAGGGCCTAATTAGCCTAATTGTCTTTGCGCAGGTTCAGCCCAGATCTAAAGACAATTCCGCGGGTCGAAGGCTGCCCCATGCAGAGCTCAGCAAAACGAGTTGATGCAAGCAGGAGTTCTGCAGCGCTAGCTGCAGTGTTCCTTGCCCACTGTCTGCGACGCCTGCGACGAGGAGCTTGTTTGTCCACGAATCTGTCCATGCCAATGCAGTGCCCTTCCTCATAAGCTGTCTGTCAGCAGGTCCTCGCACCTGCATGGCTTCAGAAACCTACAAGGCACCTGCGGGCAAGGCTCTCTGTGCCCTGGATTCACCACCAGTTGTAAGGACGAACCTGGCATCTTGGACTCATGGCTGTACACTGCCAGCCGTGGCATCAGATCTGGCGCTGTTGCACTGATGTGTTCGAGTTTCCGCGAGGTTAGATGTCGCTCATTATCGCTTCATCCTGTTGCGTGGTCATGCTGCGAGTCCGGGGTTATGAAAACTTGGGCTTCAAGCATACAACATATGAGCACGCGCAAGGTGTAGAGTAGGCACCTCGTGAAGCAGTCCCGAAGCACCGGCTACAACCGGGCTTGCTTCTGACTAGGCATCAGTCGCATCTTGGTGACTCCATGCCTTCCTGTAGTGCAAGGCTTGCTTGTGTGCTGTTGCCAGTTCGCCCCCGATGCGCGCGCAGTCAGTTGTTGTAAGTCGGGGGGAACCAGTCCGCAGAGCTTCGAGTGGGGGTAACTGGCGACGGCAACACTTCGCATCTGCGTGATGGCTGCTTGCCAAGAAAGCAGCCACAAAGCTCAAGCAAAATGCTGAAGTCCTTTTCGAAGCTGCTTCAGGGACCCGAGGCTCGCCGAGCGCGAGTTTGCAAGTCTTCCCGTAAACTATGCCTGTGCTGGTTTCGCTGCCGTCGCTTGAAGACTTTGTCCTGGTTTCGCGGCTTTGTGATCTGGAGAATATCGAGTGCGCTCATGGCATCTTATGGCAACCTGAAAGTCCTGGGCAAGCAGGAGCAGAGCGCAGGCTTGGAAGGAAGCCACTTGTGCCCAAAAGGCAACGTGGGTCATTTTCCGGTGCTCGGCCGCTCTTTCGTTGTAGCCCTACAGGCCTCCCTTGCAAGAGCCACTCAATCCCAACCTGGCAGGAGACTTCGCGCAAGCTTCGGAAGCCGATGGAAGCCCGTTCGACATCCGCTTTACAGGTTAACATGCCGAGTTTGTTGCCATTCACGCCGCCGCACGTCGGCTCATCAAAACTTAATGTGGCCGCAAGAATTCGAGCTCGGACAAGCCAGCCCTGCTTCCACACCGTGCCACTGCTGCGCCGGATGCGCCTGGAGAGTGGGGAAAGCACAATCATCTCCGTGAGGACAATTCGGAAGACCTTCAAGAGGTCTTGGCGTAGCGTGGAGCTCGGGTTTCGCACCTTGCAGTTTCCGGCGAAAGTTTTGGGTGCGGGGACAGTCTGAAAAAAATCTCTCACCCGTACTTTTCGTGGCAGCTGAACCAAGTGGAGACGGCTCCCCATGGTGTGTGCGAGTGACTTCGGACTTGGCTCTATCGGCTACCAGATCGATCTGCGTACATCCCAAGCGCGAGCTAGTTTCAGCACTGACCTTACGGAAGGCTCGGACTCCAAGCCTCGTAAGTGGAGTCCTGGAGCCTTCAGTTCCCTGCGTGAAAGCTTGATTTCAGTGAGCTCTCAGAGTGCCGCTTGCAAGAATATTTGAGATTTGCAAGAAGAGCTGCCCTGGCCTTGGCATCTCAGGGGTATTCCAGGATGCTCTTGAAAGCCGCTCATCAAAAGGTCACGCAGCGACCTCCACGAATTGCCCGAGCCTGAAACGGCCCTGAGCAGAAGAGTCCCAACATGGAGGTCAGGATGCGTTTTTTTTTGGGCGGTCGGGGTCTTGGCATACGGTAGAACCTGAGTCTGCAAATCTTCAGAGCTGGATGACAGGGAAGAGCGATACCCCTTGCGTAGCCTTGGTGCAATGCTTTGACCTGCGGGATCACACCTCTTTGACAAGCCGAGAGGCTAGAGCCGGCCTGGACATGCACGAAGGTTTGTGCTTGCACGGGCTACATGCCTAGGTCTTCGTGACATTGCCTTGGAGGTGTGCATCACGCCGAGCTGGCCGCACCGGCGCGTCGTCGCAAGCCGAAGCGGCGTTCAGAAACTCCGTGGATTTGAGTTTCAGTGTTTGTAGGGCCAGACGCCGGGCTCTTCTGCACAGCTCCACGCCGCACACCCCCTGAGGCCGAAGGCAGTCACTGAGTGTTGCATGTAGGAAGACTTTGATTCCTTGATTTCGCGGCGTGGCTCCCCCCCAAACGGGGAAGCTGCACTGACTCCGCTATGGACGAATTGCAGGAGGTCACGACTTCGAATTTGGCAATTAGTCGTCTTCGGACTCTCTTGAAGTAGCCTTTTGCATCCAGCTGCGGAGCTTTCAACTGGAATTGAACCGGGATGCGCTTCATCTACTTGGACCTGCTTCATGCTTCACCACATGAGGCGAGTAGCGGCAAGAGCCGCCTGCATGCGCTTTCCAAGACTTACTCGGTGTCATGTCGAGGTCTAAGGACCGACCCCTTGCCCCACAGCACTGACTCCGCCCTAGCATAGGTTTAAGTCTAAGTCCTTATTGGTTTCTTGGAAAGGTCGAAAGCTGCCGGAGAGGCCACAGTCAGACGATACGGCAAAGACTGTTTTTCCCATCAACTCCTCCAATGCGGCGCTATCAGGCCATGGCTATTTGTCGAAATTCAGAGGGACTTGAGAGCCTTGCTACCACAAGACCTTGATATGCACCTTGGGAAAGTAGTGTTGCATGGCGCAAGGAGGGCAAAGACTCATTCTCAGGCTCTTGAGATCTTAACGACACCGTGGTGCTGAAGCTCCCGAGCCCATAGACCAGGGACCAGAACCTCAACATGCATGTTTATGCAACGCTTTCTGTCATTAAAGCTTTTGACGGGTGTTCATATGTATAAGACGTCTACATGCAGCATACGGAGAAAGATGCTGGCCAGGTTGGACCTTCAACTTCGGCTGGTCTGGCGGATGGTGTTGCTGCGCCTGCGAGTCTGGCAACAAGAAGCCACATGAAGCACTCCAGGTACGGCAGAATATCCGTACATTGTGTCTATCTACTGCGTGTTCAGCGATGCGCAAAAGATGCGGCGCACAATCTGGGATTACTCTACCAGTTGCCGACGGTTCGCGGATGTCATTTTGACCAACTCCACCTGTGCCTTGCAGTAAGCGTTCCGAGGGCACTGCAGTCCCAAGATGGGTTCCTAAAAAAGGGCTCTACTTCTCCCCAACTTAGAAAGTCAGCTGGGTGGTACCCAGCAGCATGGCTTACTTCTAGGACTATTGCGCTGCACCGAGCTTGAATCGGTGCCCACTCCTCCTCTCAGTAGAGACTCCGACAGTTGGAGGCTACCTGGAGAAGCGATTCTGTAATCCTTGCTTTAGGGACCTTGGCCCGGCACTAGCGATAGACTATTGTTGTTCGCTGGCAGCAGACAAGGTCAAAGACCTCGCCTGGAAATTCTGTGAGGGCCCCTCGAAGTTTTTAGGGGATGGTCAGGGAGGTAGAGAACTTCCGCCAACACTAGGAGCTGCATCTGCCGCTCAATCTGCTCAAGCACAGTGCAGAAAAGGAGGACAGAAGAGGGTTACCTCCCATGGCTTTTGCCTGGGCACGCAGGCCGAAATGGCCGTAGGCTAGCAGCTGCGTTGTTGGACGCTTTGGGTAGTGGCTGGGAGGAATGCAGATCTTCTTGCAAACAATGGCGGGCAAGATGATTTCGTTGTCGGTGGAGCCGTCGGAGACAATCAAATCAGCGAAGGCGCGAGTCCAAGAGGCTGAGGGGCTGATCACGTCACAACAGCAATGGGTCTGGTGTGGAGAGAAGCTGTCGGATCGACTCAGCTTTGAAGATTACGAGATGCAGGCAGATTCCACTATTGATTTGATATTGTCGAAGCAGAAGGTTCAGATCTCCGTCCGCACCTTCGATGCCAACTTTCTACGCCTCGAGACAGAGTCCTGTTCTTCAGTCGAGGATTTCAAAGCCCAGATCGAAGAAGCTTCGCCAGGCTGCTTCAAGGACGTCCTGGTTATTGGGGACGGGCACAGAAGCCCCCCCAACATCGCAACTCAGTGACAGTTTGCACATAGCGGCTTCCCGGCCCGCCTGGCTTTTGTAGGTCGTACTGGAATACTAGTCGTATAATATACTATAATCTACCAGAACATACGAGAATGCCAGAGAGTGTAGTATACTGTTGCACACTATTATAATGTACTCTTTGACATGGCTGCGTCTGTGGAGGCCCAAGGAACCCAAAGGGCGGATGCGCTCAAGACAGACCTAGTGATCAGAGGTTAAGGGTTTAGAGATTTAGGGTTTAGAGGTTCAGGGTACCAGACCTTTATTTAGAGTCCCATGTTGCTCAAGCCCGAGTATGAGAGTCGAATCCACTTACTTCTGTCCAACAATCGAACGACCAGAGACGAGCCCAAATGCAGGACGTGGCACCCGAGTATCGCGCCTGGGTCTTCCAGGGGAAATCACTCGAGGACGGCTGCTACCTCTCAGAATCTTGGCTGTTATCCGGTAGCCCTGTGACAAAGCCTCTTCAAGGTGGCATTGGCATAAGGGCCTTTACCTCACCTCGGCCGTCGTCGGGTCAGATGGGCTTAGGCTTAGCTTGCAAACGCGAGACATCCTCCTCGTGAAACCACACGACATGACAACTTGATTGTGGTGTGCTGATGGGGGGTGGTAGGTTGGCGGTTCTGTAATTTACATTGGGTTGTCAGTCCCATACTGATAAGCACACAGACAACTTGAATGGATGGAGAACTGATAAGGACTGGCGGTAAGATGACATAATAAGGATCCAAAGTCCCAGCAGCTGAGGATTACGGCATAGAATCAGGCAGCACTGTCTGGCTTGCAGCTCGCAAGATTGCAAGGGGAACACTGTCAGAAGCTTCAGCAGAGCCGCCCACATAGAGCAGCAACCGATCGTGCAACAGCAGCAAAAGGCGACTCTGTGGTCAAGAGTCAGGGCTGCGACAGAGCTGTGTTCGGTCAGATACATAGAATCTTCATAAAGCGTTGATTCTGCCTTGGGGCCACAAGGGGGCAGAAACCCTATACTCGTGGACAAACTTGCTCCATTTTGTTATCATGAGACACCATAATATTCCGATACTTGCTTTCGAATGGACATAAGAACTTTCTATAAATTACTATGACGATAGAAATAATGGCTTATTGGAACCTACTATAACTTTTATGATGATAGAAATAATGACTTATTGTCAATTATATATGAATTTAAATAAATAAATATATATATATATAAATCTTTCTATGAATCTATTCAAATCGAAATCTTTCTGATAGAATATATATGATATTATTGAATTTTCTTGCAGAAATTAAAATAGTCTTTATTAGACCCCGGGACGATTTGAATATATTAAATCACTATATCTGAATATTTAATTAAAGTATTCGTTGAATTTAGAAAGATACGATGATAAATCTAAAATTGAAATCTTGAAAGGGTTAGAGAAATATTTTCTATACTAGATATATTGGTTTTAAAAATATGATAGGTATGCATATTTTTTGGTGAAAATCGATAAAATTAGAATTTTTATTTCAAAATTGAATAACAAATAGAAATATTTTAATTTAAACTTCTTTCTTTCTATAAATATATATATACTATTTCAAAAAAATAATTAATAGAAATATTTTCATTTAAAATTGATTTATATTTATTTATATCTAAGATAGATTTTTGAAATTTTATTGAATGATAGATTTCATCTGACTTTGCGATTTGGGATTATATGAGAATCTTTATTTATTAATCGTATGATAGAAAATTATTATATCTCTATGAGAATAGAATATTTATATTTTCGTGATTCGTAATTATATTATTAAATATTTTATATTATCATTAATTTTGAGAAAAAATGGATAATGATATATCTTATTTTGAAAATAATAGAAACTGCTTGCTTGCACTGCCTTTTCTTGCCTTTGTCTTTGCACTGTCTGCACCTTCCTTGCTGCATTGCCTGAGTTCCTTGGTTACCTCTCTCTTCTGCCCCTTTTGCCGAATGATCCTAGGAATTACCCCACTTTGCGGCAGCGCCTTGTCACCCCCCCTAAGAACCACGAGCCCTCCTCCGCGCTGAGTGCTATGGCCCTGAACTAGCCGATGTCATGCTACGGCCGTGATTCAGCCTCTACATAGACTCCGATTTCGACTTGCAGCGACAGCAACTTTGCTTTTGGCCTGGAGCCACGATGACTCTCTCTGCACAGATTCTGATCAAGGTCACCGTCTAAGTGCTGGAAACCTTTGGGGAGCGGGATGTGTTTTCCGGAGTACGAGCAGACTGTCAACTGGAGGATGCTGGACTCGATGATGGGTCGGCAAGATTGGCTGAAGATGATCCGGACCTCTGCAAAGGTTTGCCAACAAAAGACGCTCTTCTGGACGTTTTGCCTGCAGTTTCTTGACACACATGGCCACCCACATGGATTTCCCTTACAGTGCAAGGTCTGCGGAGTACAATGTGCTGGGAGCGACGGATTCTCTTGAATTTCGGTCGATGCAGTGGGGGGGTTGGTTTTTGCATGGTCCCGCCTCTCTTGTCTTGGCTCTGGGAAAACAGTCGCTGTCTTCGGAAGCTTGGGCCCTGGCTTGGATGTGGGGCGAAGTCTGTCCATAAGCTGCTGAAGCGACGACTTCTCACATGAGAGAGCTGTCAACGGAGAAGCGGACGAGCCGGCTAAATATTCCGGACTATCGGACACTTTACCTTCGAGTTCCACTGGGTGCACTGGCAGTTTGAGGTGATCCGGTTTCAGGCTGACGGTCTGGGGCAACTGATTTCGGACTGCATACCTGGTTGCGGTGGAACTGTACTCGCAGGGTGAATTGGGAGCGGTGCTCTGCAAGAGATCCAAGGGCTCTCATCGGTGTCTGCAATGAACAGTGACTACAGTGTGCATGCTGAGGGGCAGGGCTACCAACTTTGTTTTCGCTCGGTTGTACAGAAGCGAGTGTTGAGAGCTGTACATCTCCTTGTTGCTACTGAAAGCCTGACGCGCCTTAGGTGCTGTCGACCTGTGGACTACCTGTGTGTCACGTTGGAGTGCATGCCCTCTGGTGCTGCCTGATGCCGGATGTGTGCTTTGATTCTTCTGAACATTCGGTACTTGCCATGCAGTGTCTACGGACATTGCCAAATGGGAGCCAAAAATAAAAATAATTAATGATAATTTTCAGAAAAAAATTGCCGATAATTTTGAGAAATGGTTGATAATGATATATATTATTTTGAAAGAATAAAAATAATTGATGATAATTTTCAGAAAAAAATTGCCGATTATATATATATATAATATTCGGAAATTAATGATTCTATTAAAAATCTAAAAATATGATTTATTATCGATTCTATTTTCTAACTAAATAATATTTTTTGAGATTTCTTCGATATATTGTTCGCCACTAATTTTCAGATTTCTTCGATATAAATAGTTTGAAATCTATTTCATTTTTTAATATTTTGAAATTCGTCAAAAAATTTATTTAATTCTTCCTTCGACTTTTAAAATTTCTTATTTATTCAAAGATTTATTAATTAATATTAGGTTTCTAGAGATCAATTTCTTCATTCATAATTTTTTGATTTATTTCTATCCATCATTTTTCTTATTAAGAAATTTAGATTTTCTTCTATTTATCATCTTTCTTATTCAGAATATGGGCTATGATTCTCCGATATCTCGAATTTCATATTTCTATTATTTTACTTATTTTTATTAGATCTATTATTCGTCTAATATTCTATTTATTATATTCATTATGGATTCCGAATTTGACGTCATCCATCCCCCTCCTCCTCCATCTCTCCTAACAAAACCATTTCTAAATCCCTCCAAATAATTATAAAGATTTGGAATCTTCGGTATATTTCTAGAGAGACAAGAACAGAAAAATAGATCAAAGATTAAATTCTGCAATCGAAATCTAAAAGAGCCCGTATTCTTCAAGATTACCAGAATAAGATCTTAATTAAATTTCTAAATTATTCCATATATAATTTCCATCTCAAATCGTTCCATAAAAGACAAAAAAATATCTAAATAAAAGAGAGAAAAAGAATATCATAATTATATTTTTATTGTATAAAAAGAATCTTTAGAAATAGAAAATTTAATGCTCTGCGATCCATTAATCTTTATTAAGTTAAATCTTTATTAAATCCACGAACAAATATCATAGAAATATTTTTAATAATCTGTTTCTCATTTAGATCTACTAATCATATTTCAAAGAGAAATTATGACAATAAGCCGAAATTAGAAATATTATTCTTATATAAAATCTATCATTTAATGTTATTTTCAATATTTTTTTTATTTCTATACGTACGGTTTCATATTTATATCATTCATTATTTCTAAGAAATATAAAGAAATCAACTAGAAACTCAACCCATCCACGGTCTACCTATATAACTCGACTAAATCTTTCATAACCAACACGAAGATCATCAATAACATTTTATAGAAATAATACGAAATACAACGATTTATCTTTAAATTTCGAACGAAAAAATTATAATCGAGAAAGACCTTAATTTAACCTATAGAGTCTTATTAACTTCCAGATAACAAAAAAATATAATATAGCTTACTAAATAAAAACTATTGAAAATAATTTATGAGAGTCAAATCTAATTTTTATTATCTATAAGAATTCGAACGAAAATTCGAAAACCATATATTTAGAGTAAAATATCTTTAAATTTCATCTAAAATTTTGTTCTATATTCGATCAACCAAACCTTCCATCTTCATATATCATTTATTAATATCAAGCCATCACGAAGATCTCGCCAAAATAGATCACAATATTCCATAAAATAAAATACCACCTCAAATCGGGTAAGACATAATAGTAGCCTCTATCTAAATTCTTAAATTGTCTTTTTCAATGAAAATCCATATTCTTTTATCGAGAATATAAATTTAGATAATTCATGCAATTTGTTTCTCTATTCCATTATCTTTTAACAAGACTAAAAGAATTAGACAATACAAGATCAATTACCAATCAT